AGGTCACACCAGCAGCTGTGTGTGGAGGAGTGGGGGAATCGAACCTGGTTCTCCCAGATTAGAGTCCACACTCTTAACCACTACACCAAACTGGCTCTCACTTCCAGGTCATCTTGGAAGTCACGTGGGCACGTCACTGAAATGACGGGTAAGACTCCCTGCTCCCGGTAAACCCATCTTCCATCCCCTGCCGGCTCTCAGGAGGGACCTGGCAACTCTAATGTGCCTCCAAGTCCACCTTCCAAAGCTGACATTTTCTCCAGGGGTCTTGATAAGATGATGCATGGGAGTGAGCAGGTTGAGAAAGAAGTCCTTTTCTCCCTTTCTCACAATACAAGAACTCGTGGGCACTCCATGAAATTGCTGAGCGGTCGGGTTAGAATGGATAAAAGGAAGTCCTTCTTCACCCAAAGAGTGATTAACACTTGGAATTCACTGCCACAGGAGGTGGCGGCGGCTACAAGCACGGACGGCTTCAAGAGGGAATTAGATAAGCATATGGAGCAGAGGTCCATCAATGGCTATTAGCCACAAGGTATACATAGGAACGCTCGGCCTGGGGCAAGTGATGCTCTGTCTTCTTGGTGCTTGGGGGGGGAGCAACAGTGGGAGGGCTTCTAGTGTCCTGGCCCCACTGATGGATCTCCTGGTGGCACCTGGTATTTTTGGCCACTGTGTGACAGAGTGTTGGACTGGAGGGGCCATTGGTCTGATCCAACATTGGCTTCTCTTATGTTCTTACGTCTTGTAGTCTGGAGATCAGATGGAACTCTGGGCATAGGTGTAATCTTCGGGGGGGCTCGGGGGCTGAGGCTATCCCCCAATTTTTCCAGGGATGAATGAGTCCCCCCCCCCGGAGCAACCAGCACACCAATTTCCCTCTCAGCACAGGGTTAGTGGGTTCTCTCCCCCCCCACCTGCACTAACTATAAAGTGGCCACCCACCTTCCAGCAGAGTGGAGCAACTTCAGAGCTGCTGCTGTTGCTGCCAAAATGCAAGCCGCCTTCCCACTGACACTGCTGCACCCAGCTATCCCTTAGGTCCTGGAGTTGGAGGTAGCAGAGCCAGGATCAGAGTGCACCTGGGTACCAGTTGGTGGGAAGGACGGAGGTTGGGGAGGAGAGGTGGTCAAGAATGGGGGCAGGGGAGGTTGGGGGAGCCTTGGGCTGGCAATGCGGCTGACCAGTGCTCCTCTGTGGCCTCCGGTTGCCAGCGCTGTCAGCAGTGAGTGGCTCACTTTCTGTGCCACAAAGAGCACATTGTCCCAGCAGCACAGAAGATCCTGGGGTTCGCTTTCTCCTGCAGTCAGCCGGTGGGGGGGCTTTCTCTCTCTCTCTTTCTGTCGTTTTCTCTTCTTTCAGTCCTTTTCTCTTTTCTTTCTCTTTCTGTTGACGTGTCATGGGAGCTGGAAGCCAGGGAACTGCTTCCCCCCCACACTCCAGCCTGACTTTCCTTTCTTTCTTTCCATCCCTTCTTTCTGTCTTTCACTTGTCTCTCCCCATCTATTTTCTTTCTTTCCATCTCTCCCCTCTTTCTTTTACTTTCTTTCTTTCTTTCTTTCTTTCTTTCTTTCTTTCTTTCTTTCTTTCTTTCTTTCTTTCTTTCTTTCTTTCT